CACAACTCTGTAAGTGACACCGTGCAATCTGTCACATCTGGGCTAAAGGGGGGAGTATTTACTGCAAATATACACCTCAACTTAAAACAAGATTATGGTCAAAATCCACAGGATTGAACCTTTACATAAGAAATTGCGAATCCCTAATACGTTTACAGAAATTACCTTTCTCAGTACCCAGTTGAGGTCCCTTTGCTTTTTTTTTTTTCCAATAATATTTTTATTAGAAGAAAAGCAGGGTATAATAGTGTACATACAAAAACGGATCACAGTCCGAACATAGACACAACATGTAGCATCCCATTACGCAGACGGGCCATGGGTTTAAACCAGAATACACATTGGTATGATATATATCCTTATTGCACATGTATATAGCAGATAAGTTTATACCAAGAGTATAAAAGATAAATCGAAGTGGGTATATTGCTTATTGACCTATGTATTTGTGAGCCCTTAAGTTAAGGGAGTGCAATGTGTTGGGTAGTGCTAGCACAGGATAATTTATATGATATGATATGTGCGTCCATTGCAGGGAAGTGTGAGCCATGTGAAATCAGTCACGCCTTTATGGGAGATTAAATGCAATATTTGTATAGAATATACTGTATGAACAATGAAGGCGTGTAAAAGGTGTGAGAGAAAGCAAAGTCAGAAAGGAGAATAGTTAGAGAAGAAGATAAAGATATAGAGTGAGGTAGTGGGGGGGAGGAGGGGTAAAAGAGACCAAAAAAAAAAGGAGTGGGGAGGGAGGAGAAATGGGGTAGGTAATAACGGGGACGTTAAAGTGAATAGTTTTGGATAAAATAGGGCACATCATTTTGTGCAAGCCAAAAATATAGTCAAGATCAATCAAAGGGGCAACACGTGGGTCCAGAAGCCGAAATGCAGGCTACGATGTCAAGTCTCAGTCCATCCAAATGTGCACCAAATGTGTCTACGGTGGACAGGGCGTTCTCTAGTACAACAGTGTGTCTAACCATTCAGTCAGGGGGTATAGGCTGAGCATGCATTAATAGGCGATAGGTAGTGGTGGTTTTTGAAATGGCTCCAACAAGCCCAGGTATTCCTGTATCTCTCGGGATGTTCTTTTGCTACAGAAATCATATCCCTTTGCTTTGATAGTGTCAAAGCTATGATGGCATTTTTTTTTATATATGAAATGCACTGTAGCAATTCTTTGACCAATGCCCTTCACAGCCAAAGATTGAAAATGTATGCTCCTTTTATTACCACCAGATATGGTAGAGATAGTTTTAGGGGATTACTACTACACTATTCTTCATATGCTCTATTATGAATTCTATGGGCACATACATATATACGCAAACTTTTTTTATTTTTTGCCCCTCCTCATATTTATATCCTCCCCAAAAAAATACAGATATATGGTCTATTAATTTATATATAATATTATTTTATATTCATTTTTATTTTTATTTTATTATTATTATTTTTATTTTATTTGCTATATATTTTTTAATTTATTTTATTTATTATATTTTATTTTATTTTTATTTTATTTTTTATTTTATTTTATATTTATATTTTATATTTTATTTTTATTTTATTTTTATTTTATTTTATTTTATTTTTATTTTAATTTAATTTTATTTTATTTTTATTTTTAATCTTAATTTCTTTTAATTTATTTCATTTTATTTATCCTTCAAAACACTTTAATTATTTTTATTTTTTTAACTTTAAAATATAGAGATATTTATATATATTTTTTTTAATATATATTATTATTTTTTTAAATATATATTTTTTAATTCTTGATTTTATATTTTAATTTTTAAATATACTCAATAATATATATTTTCTAATGTTTTGAGATTCCTTTTCTATCATATTACCTTTTCCCTGCCTAGCTTGTGTTTTCTATGTGTGCCCAAACTCATTAATGCATTACTATTCATATATGCTTAAGTAGTTATTTATTTTGTCCAGACATCGTTTTTATAGTTCATCTCCCTTTTCCCCTTCACACCCCCCCTCCCCCCTCCTCTTCCTTTTCTTTACATGTTCCTCAGCTTGCAGCTACTTATTATTCATGATCTCTCCTTTTATTGTTCACTATCTTGTATGTATTATATATTTACTAGCCCGCCCCTTTAGTTGCCCCACCCCCTTTTCCTTCCCCTATTTATTGGCTCACTTCAGTGGCCAATCAGGTCTGAAGAAAAGGCTGGTTGCCTTGAAACGCGTTACCGCCCCCTTGGACGATTCTCAGCAACGTCTTGACGTCACTTCCGCCCGGCGGCCATCTTGGATGCACCTCAAGCTGGCCCCACTATCCACGCTGATGTGAGAGATCAGCAGTGCCTGCCCTAGATCACGGTTCGCCTCTGCGCAGCGATTCCCGGTTACTGCGCCTGCCGTTCTTGCTTCTTCCTGTGGGACCCGCCTAGAGCGCCAGCCACCGAATATTCTGGCACTGTAGCCATTCACCCATGATGTGCAGCACAGATGACGTCCTCCTCTTCCTACTATATTTGATGCCTGATACCTACCCACATCTTGTGAGTTTTTAAATTTTGTGTGCAATAAACTGTTATAATCTTACTGCACTTAGTCTGGCGCACTTCTCTTTTTCTTTTATTCTTCCACTACAGAGTCCGGTTTACTCTAGAGAGTGCAAGCCTCATGACGGTGTCTACATTGCAGCTTTGTATATATATATGTATACACATATATATGTGTATACCATCTATTTTAATCCAGTACTGTTTGTATCACAAGCCCCTTTTTTTCCCCTCTCCCTCCCCCCCTTTTCCTCTTTTTATTATTGTTAAGACTTTTTGAGTGAACTTTATACCCACCACGATCTCTCTTGCGCCAATTACATTTTCGTTTTATTATAATCTGAGTAAAGACCTTATAAGCCCCCAGTTGCAACACCATGAGAAGAGTAATGAGAAGAATATCAAACAGTATATATCTCAATCAGGATTCCCATCTATAACCACACATGGATCATCCCTCCTGGAGGAACCGATTACTGCACTGAAACTTGGCCCAGGCTATCAACCACACCAACATTGGTAAAGCCCCAGCAGTTAAAACTTTGCATTCAACTATTAGAAACAGTTCCAAACCCAACTTTCACCTAATTTTTTTTAAAGCCCTTTGCTACACAGCACTGTCAGCCCAACTACCTGTTATCCCTAAGGAAGGGAAGGACCCCTTGCTCCACTCTAATTACAGAGCCACTTCTCTCCTCAACATTGACTTGGCACTAGTTTCAGAAATTCTCACTGTGTGCCTGGTTCCATATCTTCAAAAACTCATCCACTTAAATCAAGTGGGCTTCATGCCTTATAAGGAGGCTAGAGATGAGACCATTTGGCATTGAAAGCAGGCCTTGCCTTCATCTTTTCAACATACCCTGAGAAGTCCTTCATCTGTCTCACTTTTGAGGCTAATGGCCTTGGCCCCACTTTACATTCCTGGATCATCACTTTATATTCCTCTCCTTATTCTCAAGTCAATGTGAATGGAGTTTTTGCAACCCCATTCCCAATCAATAACATCACCAGGCAGGGGTGCTCCCCTTCCCCACTTGTATTTATTTTGATATTGGAACCCTTTCTAAGGTATCTGAAGGGTGGATCCTAACATAACTTGATTTCAATTGGGCATCCGCACCCCCAAATTATTTACCTATGTGGGTGATTTGTTATTTTTTTTCTTAGCAACCTAATCACCACAGTACCAAATTTATAAGGCGAATTTTCAAGTTACAGTGAACTTGACAACTTCAACATAATTTACAAAAAGTCCAAAGTGCTCAACATGAATCTCCCAACAACCACCTTGCACAGTCTTTAAGAAAATTTTTATTTCAAATGGACTTCTACCCACATCAGATATTTAGGTATTCAGTTGCCTAGAGACTTGGAGAACCTTTATACCATTAATTTTGCTCCATTACTCTCTAAGTTCCATGCCGAGTTATCGACCTGTACAATCTACAGTTTTTCCTAGATGGAGAGATGCAATGCAATTAGGCAGAACATTCAACCCAGATTCCACATCCACTTCAAACAATATCCCACTACTGTTACTTTACATCCCTGTAATCCATTCCTAATAACTTTATCTGGTCATCTAAACCAGCCCACTTCAAGCATAGTTTTATAAACGCAAAAGACAGCCTGAAGACTTGGTGAGATGGCTCTCCCTGTCATCAAACTCTATGATCTAGCTGTTCCCTCTATGTGTGTCCAGTGTCCTGCAGACTTTCTTCATCAAAACAATGGGTCTCCATGCTTCAACTGATCTCCCCTTCTTCACTCACTGCACTCTTCTGGTGACCTAACATTTCACCTCTTGATTTGTGTGCTCATCCTACTATTGCCCTGATATGGTGCACCTGTAACACCACACATGGCATTCCCTATGCTCTTTCTCCTTTATTATTGTAATGAGTACTGCTCATTGTAATTGGGATAATACGGGAATAACACAAACCTGGCCATGGAACAGCTGAGAAGCCAATTGTCCCATTACTTTTGGTCCCTTAACAAGTGGGAGGCACATATGCAAACTGTTGTAATTCCTACACCGTTCACCTGATTTTCACCTGTAAATACCCTCAAATTAAAGCTGACAGTCTGCAATTAAAGCACATCTTGTTCGTTTCATTTCAAATCCATTGTGGTAGTGTATAGAGCCAAAAATGTTAGAATTGTGTTGATGTCCCAATATTTATGGACCTGACTGTATATACTGGAATTTACACAGCTTTTAAGTAGCTCTTCTTCCTATGCCTATCACATTTCTTGAAGTGCTAAAATGACAGGAAAGTACGAACACCCCCAAATGACCACTTTTTGGAAATTGGCTGCAGCCAATGACAGTGTGGGTTTCTGGGGGCCCAGATGAAAGTACCAATGTACAGGTACGTGACTATGCATGTCTGTCAGAGCCTGGGTCCGAACCTGGGCCTTCTGAGGTGTGTGGCAATGTTTCTTCTTGCTGAGCCAACTGGAATTCTGGACAGCTCCCTTGACAATCATTTGGATGATCCTGCCTTGACCTTGTTTGTCATGAACCTTGAACCCCTTGCTCCTCCCATGAACTTCCTGATATAAGCCATGTCTCTGCACTTCCTGTTTGCCAGATTATTGTACTCTTCAGCCAGTATCTTGCTCCCTGCCTTCTCTGCTATCATCCATATTTTGCTATCACTCGTTATTGACCCTTAGCTTATTCTCAACTACATTTCTGACTGATCCCAACCTGCGACTGCTCATTACTGACCTTGGCTTGTTCTCGACTACGCTTCTGCCTGATCCCAACCTGCAACTGCTCAGTACCAACCTTGGCTTGTTTACTGACCACGCTTCCGTTTGATCCATACTTGCTTAATACGCTACTGGACCTCCGCTTGCTCACCTCCTGGTGGGGTGATCCTGAGGACCACGATCTGGTGCTAACACAGCAAAACCATCTCCACCATCAGGAGCTCTGCTGAACACAGGTTAGTACTTAGACTTCACACTTCAGGTGAGCCCACTCCTACGCCACAGTGACCTGCCTGTGTACCTATCCTGCTGGTTTTGGTGTGATCCTTTCCACTGCTATAGCAACTGGTCTTCGAGCCTGACCCCTGATCGTGACAGCGTCTGAGCCACCTGCCTGTAGTACAATGCGGGAAGGCAGTCAGCAAGTGATTATCTTGTTTCCTCAATTGTTATGTAATGGGAAATTTCATAATATGCATTTTGGAAGCCTTAACGTTTCATTGTTAGCTATATATATTTCATTTTTTGAGATCTATGATGCTTTGCTGTTGATGCATTCTATGTTAGTTTCTTAACCTCAATAAAGAATGTATAAAAAAAAGTTGTGGCAAAATAGGAGTAGCACTATTAGTGGTATGAATTCAAGACAGTTCTTAGTCTTCAAATTATAAACAATTCATTGTAATTGCAAGCAATATTTATTTTTCCTTTGTCTAAACACTTTTCTGTGTACAGAAACTTGGTTATTTGCAATTTATTTAATTTTTCTATTGAAACAAAATGCACAACCGGAACATTTAAACGGGGCTAACAGTAATATGAAATTTGTTTTCTGAGAAAAGATCTTAAACATTCTAAGACTTTGTTCATTACTTTGGTTCTTCAAAGAGAAAAATAAACTTCTGTTAGAAACAAAGTTTCACTGCTGTTAGAATAGTTATGCTGTCCATAGCATCTTGACATTTACAGAATCCTATGACTTTTATAGACAGTGCACCAGCTGTGAATAGTAATCAAATGTCTACTGAGTTAAGACCATGCAGGCTGCCCTGAGCACACACATTGTTTTCTTAATACTTGTCTGCCAAAATTTTATTCATTGACCCCAATACCAATTAATTGCAAAATGTATATTATGAGGTTTCAATTGACTGTAAGAGAAAAGTGAAAGTTAATAAGGATTGTGCGCATATCAAACTAACACAATTAGGAATTATTCATAAATGCAATCATTTTACAGTTTTGAGAATTTAGAAATGTGCATGAATAATTCCATAACTATAGACATTTAGAAAACAACACGGGAAAAAATTTACATTGGTACATATTTATTTAGCAAATAGTTTAGACAATCCAAATAATCCATGAAAACAATAAGAGAACCTCAAGGATAAGGGCATCTTGTAGAGATGGTCAATGAAGTCAAGTGTTAAAATCAAAGAGTGAGGTGTCCAAATTAATTCGGGTAGTTTACCTCCCACTCTATATAGAAAAACACATCATACACTTTTGATGACCTATTTTCATAGCAAAACTCTGCTCAAGTGCAAAACACACCAATAAAAAGAGATTTTTGAGGACCTCAGAAGAGTAATTGAAACTCTTAAGGCTGGAAAAAGTTTAAAAGGGATTATAAAGATGTCAGTCATCATTTGTCAACAAACAGAAATTTTACAATATGGAAGCACAGGAGTATAAGTAGCATGCAAAAAAAAATCAGGAAATGGCATGCCACACAAGACATGAAAAACAATCATAGGAAGGTGATAAAGATCTAAAGACATCTGTTGCCCTATTAGCATCTGTGAGTGTTAAAAATAAAAATAAACACAGAAAAATGGTGGTATAGGTTACCATGGAGGAAACCTTCCCAAAAGAAACAATAACAGCAGGGCTAAAGAAGACTTGAATGTTCCATATTTCTTCTGGAGTTCTTCTGAAGCAAAATTCTGTTTTGGGACAAGTGAAACAAAGTTATACTTTATGTCATGCTTACCCCTAACTCAGGTGGTCAGGCACTATAGCTGGATCCTGTGTTTTTCACCTATAGCATCCCCTTTCCCATAAGGCAAGTAGGCCTGCTGGTAATCAGTTTCCCCCAGGACGTATGCACAAAGCTTTAGTGCCTGGCTACCAAATTGGGGTAGGTGCAAACTGAGTACAGCACACAGGTACTTGAGGTTGGCAGACAGGCAGAGTGGTTCAACGACAGTCCAGGTACAAGGCAGGCAAGGTTCAGAATAGTCAGGGTCAATTCCATAGTCAAAAGGCAGGCAGAGTTCCAAGCATATTTGACATACTGTCAGGTCATCGAACTAGCAGGCAGGGCAGACAACAGTGAGGTTGGAGCAGGTGTTAAACACAATATCACAAGCATGAGACTGCATGCTTGGCTGTCTTAAATGAAGATTAGTATCCACTGAAAGACTGGCTACATCAATCACCTTGTAGGTGGACAGGCAGACAGGGAGAATGTTTTACAAGCAAAACCAAGATGCTCAAATGAGACCAGCAGCTGCGATGGAGCAGAGCACTACACACTTCTGCCACTTTTTGATAATTGTACATAGAATTTTATTGGCTAAAAACAAAACACCGGATATTAAAGCCTTACACTTAAATGTAGGGTAAGATGGAGTAAATATAAGAGTGAGGCCACTATTCTGACTCAAATGGCTTAAATAACTTGCAATCATTTCAGGACCAATAAATAGTAAACTGTACTACTTCACCAAACAGTATGTTGTTTGATGGACAAATTGTTGGGTGAGGCAGGGAAGGACCCAGCTGTCATGGTACACATTAGTACCAATGACAAAGTTAGAGGAAGGTGGAGCTCCTAAAAAATGATTTCAGGACTTAGGAGCTAAATTGAAGAGAAGAACCTCCAAAGTGGTATTCTCAGAGGTACTGTCTGTACCTTGAGCCACACAAGAGAGGCAGCAGATGCTAAGAGAACTTAACAAGTGGCTGAAGAATTGATGTAGAAAGGAGAGTTTCAGGTTCCTGGAGAACTGGGTTGACCTCTCAGTCGGTTACTGACTCTATAGTAGGACCGGACTACACCTTAATGAGGAGGGTGCAGCTCTGTTGAGGAGAGGATTTGGAGGGGCTTTTAAACTAGGTAGTGGGGGAAAGGATCAGAAGAAGCAATAACTAGCAGTGAGCAAAGGTCAGAAGGTGCTAATGGAGGCAGTAGTGGTAATATTACCATACCACCTAAACCAGGGGAAAATAGGTTGGCAAATAAAAATTGCACCATCATAAAACTAAGGCAGAAACAATATGTGCCAATATAAAACTGAGAGGCATGTCAACAAATGCCAGGAGCCTAGCTAACAAAATGGACGAGCTGAAGCTGCTGTTACTTGAGGGGGATTTTGACTTTGTGGGAATAGCAGAAACTTTGTTTTACAGCTCACATGACTGGCTGGCAACTCTCCAGGGGTATTCCTTGTATCAGAAGGATAGGTAGGGTAGAAAAGGGGGAGGGGTGTGCCTATACATCAAGAATAGTATATGGGTGGAAGAGAGGGATGGCATCGTAAATGGGGCAAGGGGGAAGGTGGAATTCATGTAGGTGGAACTTCAAAGAAAAAAAGCAAGTGGGAAAATATTAGTGGGTGTATGTTACAGGCCCCCAAATCTAAAGGATGAGGAGGGTTGGACCTCCTATCACAATTAAAAATGGCAGCAAGGCAGGGCAACATCATTATAATAGGGGACTTCAACTATCCTGATAATGGGCAGAGGGAACAGCTCATTCATTAAAGGATCATCATTTCTTAAATGTCTCACCGTCATTTCATGACCACCTATCTCTAGGTAAGTCACACTCACATTTTGGGACTATCCCAGTTTGCAATCTGGCCCTGATGGTCAATATTCCTTCGCCTTTATAACCGTGGTTGCTGGTAGTGACCAATAACTTTCCACTAGATCTGCATCAATGTTAGGCAACTCCTCTCCTCCACAGGTAGCATTTCGTATTTTCAGCATAAGTCAAAACAAAACTAGACAACCCATAGTGTAAAACTGTATAAAACTTTAATATGGGGTCAAGAAATAGAAATGCCACTCACTAAAAAAAAGTGCCTTTCCTGGCACTAGGAGTATTCAGCTTTGTGTATTATGAATGGGAATTAAGATGGCCGTCGCATTCTAGCGTGCGTTCCAAATACCAGAAGTGACGTCAACAGAAGTTGCGTCATAAGCCCTCAACGTGTTTCGACCAATGGATCGTCTTCGGGAAGTACCAATATCCAGCTTTTTTGATATTTTGACCTTTCTCGCATTCTTGAGAGACTGACAAGTTCACATTAAGCTTAATCGCACACTCTCAAGCACTCATGACACTCCTTGCCCCTAAGCCTTTTTTGCCTTTTCAGGGAAGTTTAGATTGGAGATGCAAGATAGACTACCCTCTTCATCCTTGCTGGTATGGCATGGTATGGCTGGCATCCACCAGGTATGTGATAGTTCCCCTCTAAGAATTTATTTGAATGTAAAATAGTGAATGCAGTCATTGAAATTACAGTGATGTTTAAAATAGTAATCTTCAAATCTCCATGCCTTTCCCTGTATTTATCATGACAGGTATCCTGTTCTAGGAGGAGCCAAGAACGCCGTGACGTCACGCCGTCGGATGGAGCATCTTTAACTCTGGTTATCCACATTTCATTCATACACACTGTTGTGTATCACCGAGTAGCCTGATATGCCAATAAATTTTCTATCACCTACTACACTATGGGTATGTCCTTGTCTTGACTCCCTGGGGAGCATCAATTTTCAGCCACTCATCCATCTACTGGGTAAGGAGCGTGTGTATGCTGTGAGGAGAAGTCCGCAGGCCACCTCAGGAGCACCCAGGAGCTCAGGGAGGTTATCGCACTGCAGACCTTATCCTGACCAGTTGATGACCCAGAGGGGAATCATTTTTCTGACAAACGCTCATTTAACTGTGCGTTCTGGTGAGACTGGATAGAAAGCTGATAGAATAAGTGGTACTGATAGAATAAGTGGTACTTGCTGTGCAGAGAGCAACTATTGAGGGAGCAGAACACAGCAAGGTTGGATTATTTGTAAAATTTTTTTTAAAATATTATTTCAGGTTCCTATAGAGCACACTGTACATTGAGGATCTTAATTGTGGATCCTGATGCAACAGTCTAATTCCTGCAGATTTATAGTATGAGCACTGTACATTGAGGAAAACATTCCTTGCACAGTTTTGCAGCACTTACATAAACATACATATATATAGGTCAGTACATTCCTAAAGATCAAATTTCAGAGGCACAAATAAACTTGTTGCTCTGTATATAATAAAACTTTAAAGTACAAAGTAATCATATACAAATGGATGCTCTAGGACAATGTAGCAATTACATAAGTGGTGAACTC